GGTGCTAGTGCCATTCATGGAGGTGGAAAACTCTGGAGAGTCATGGCTCCAGACTTGGGCTGGTCTCTTGTGCTTTGGGGCTATCCAAGTGGAGGTGGCCTGCATGCAAATATGCACTTTCGGCTCAGAGAGATCTCAATTGAGAATGTAAATTTGTTCAGTCATCTGCATGTAGGTAGAAATTGAAGCCATGGGCATAGTGAACTTGCTTCAGGAGAGTATACAGGAACAGAAAGTGGGTTCCTTCCTTGGGTATAGGAAGGTGAATCTGCAAAGTTGCTAGGTGGAGCAGCCAGATAAGTAAGAGGTTAGAGGAGAACCAGACAGTCATGTTACGGAGGTCTTGAAAGCCTTTGAGAACACCGTGAAGAGCAGACTGGATCGATATGCCAGTGGAGGGGCTTTGGGCTGCGGGTAATAGGAACCTGATTCAACTGCCTTAAACAATAAACTGACCTCACATACCCTGGAGTTCAGAAGCAGCACACTGAGTAGGTTTCAGGGTGTTTTGTTCATTGGCTCCTTGATGTCATCAAGAACATAGGCTTTTTCAATGCCCTGCACTGCCATCCATCCATGCTGTTGGCTTCATGCTATGGCTGGTTCCCTTTGTGGTCACAAGATGACATGCTTCCCTGTGCACGTTCAAGGGAGAGAGAATGGACTTCCTTTCTGTCTCAGCTCGTTTGTGTTGCTGTAAAGGAAGTACCTGAGCTGGGTAATTTATGAAGAAAAGAGGTTTATTTGGCTGATGGTTCTGCAGACTGTACAAGAAGCATGGCGCCCCCATCTGTTTCTGGTGAGGGCTGCAGGGAGCTTCCAATCAAGGTGGAAGGTGAAGGAGGAGCAGGTGTGTCATATGGTGAGAGAAGGAGCAAGAGAGAGGAAGCGGTGCCAGCCTTTTAAATAACCAGCTCTCCCAGGAACTAATAGACTGAGAACTCACTTACTGTCCTAGGGAGGGCACCAAGCCATTCTTGAGGGATCTGACCCCGTGACCAAAACGTCTCCCACCAGGCCCCAATTCCAACATTGGAGATCAAATTTCAACATGAGATTTGGAGGGGCCAAACATCCCAACCGTATCTCTTTTAAAAGTGAGGGAGCAGAAAAGTTTTCCGTAAGCTCACGGCAACTCTCTCCTTAAGTCTCATTGGCCAGAATTGGGTCATGTGCCCATTTCTGAACCCGTGGGAGATGGTATTACTCTTACACCAGTCAAGATGCTCCCTTAAGCTGGTGTCCAGTCTCCCAGATTGCATGACTGTTAATCAAAGAAGACGGGGTGGAATGGATGTTGGATCACCATAGCTGGGCTGGATACGGCTGATGGGCAGCCAGCATCCATTCCCACCTCCCTCTAGAGTACCTTATGTATTGCATGGTTGGAGAGTTTAAAACTACATTTCCCAGACTTTTGTAGCAAGGTACCGACAGTGAATTAAGTTCTGCCAGTTCTGCACTTCTGTGGGATTTGAATGGCAGAAGGGGGCAGAGGCCATCTTCCTACTGCTTTGACTCTTGCTACCGTCAACATGTTCTTGGAGGCACTAAGTTTTTCCGTAGCAGTGTTCCAGCGTTGGGCCACCAGCATAGCAGGAGACAGTTATAGAGGCCGTGGCAAGGGCCTCCTGATCCCTGGAGTGCACCTATGGTGCTGTGTTCTTGAACTCAGTTCCAGTGCAGCCTCCTGATTCCCCCGCTGTGTGATTGTGGGAGACGCAGTAGCTCTCCCGGTGACAGCAGTTCCGGGTTCTGGGGTCCAGCTGAGGGCTCACTCCTTCAGCCCTTCCACGAATTTTGTCAGTAGCCAATTCCCCATATTAAATACTTTTTCCTTCAAAGGAATTTAATACATGTTTATAAAATCCTAATCTAGAGTAGTTTCTATTCCTGGCACCTAAAACGAACATAACGGATCCAACAGCCAATCAGGAGCACTGTGTAGCCAGAGGACTGTGTGGGTGGTTAAGGAATGCAACAGGTGTCTGGGCCCCTGAAAACCCTATTGGAGACTTTGTAGGGGACTTCCCACAACTGCTGTCATTGTTGGAAACATCTAGCACATTGCTCAGGATGCAGCCACTTGTCCAGAGGTGTGTGAAAGCAAAGATGGACAGGCAGTAGGGAGAAAATCTAAAAATTTTGTAAGTACTGCTTACAAAAGGAGGACATCCACCACGAGGCCCCAGGGGAGGTAGGTTCCAGCCTGCAACCACCTCCCTCCCCAATACCTGGTGAGTCTATGTTGGGGGTTGAGGGGAAGTGGCACGGGTTGGTAGTCCTCAGTGAAGTTTTTAGTAAGGCAAGAACAAATTGGTATTTTGAAAGATCACCAAGACAGCTGGCAAGGAGGATGGATTGGTTCTCCAGCATCTTCCTGAACACTTTTGGTGACTGGTAGCTCACAAGCTGTAGGGGCAGCTCATCATCTTTGGGCAACTTTGCCTGCTGAACCAAAGGCAACCTTTTTGCATGCTCGCACTTGCTGTGTGCATGACCCTATCTGACCAGGGCAGAGGGGTAGCGGATGAAGTGGGGAAGAATATAGCGATTGTAAACTGGCTGTCAACAGACAAATCAGGACCACAGTTGTAATTGGCAGGTGTAGTTAATTTGAATTGAAAGAAATCTTTAAGGTAAGACAGGCTCTTTCCAATTAGTCACATGCTCCATCATTCCCTAAAGTCTTAAGGCAACTCCCTTCATTTGCTTATGTTTCTAATCTGGTACTTGAACCCTTACTTGAGGAATATTTAGGATTGAGGATGCCTGGGACCTTATGGAGGCTAAGGGACCCCTGGGGCTCTGTGACCCCCTGGTGGCAGCTACAAGCTGGTCAGGCTACAGAGGAGGAAGGAAATGCAGGTGGAAAAATCCCATCTCAGATGCCCTCCCCCTCTTCTTCCCCCCAGCCCAATGACAAGGTCTAGAGGCGCTGGTGAGTGGCCAAAGTCCCTTTAATATCCCTGAATTGCGTTACAAGTAATACTGTTGAAGGTGGGGAAGGGAGGGGGGCCTGCGGGTGAGTTGGGAGAAGAGGAAGGAGGGGGAGCGCCAAGCGCTCATACAAAATATGGCCAAAAGGCTTAGCATGCATGGAAAATTATTGCTGTCAGAAGTTCCTATTTACAGGGTCAACACCCTCCATAATTGCTTCTGCGACCCCTCTCCCCCCACCATCCCTGCAGCCTTCCTTCCTGCTGGGCCTGGAGCTGGGCCAAGGTCCGCCCACTCCTCTGAAGCCCTAGAGAAGTGCCCCTGCCCCAGGGGCCCCTCCGGTCTCCACCCTTTTTTGTGGCTAGGGTGAGGAAGAGGAGGAGGGTCCGAGAGTCCAGGACTCAGGCCCACAAGCTGGGCGCAGAGCGGTGGGGCAGAGGCGTGTGCTTAAAGCAGAGGGGGCCAGGGCCCTTGCGCGTGGAGGTGTGTGCTTCGGTCCTCGCCCGGGCATGCAAAAGCGCGGCGGAGGAGGTAGTGGCGGCCAACGGGCGGGTGGCTGGCAGCCCCGGCCCCTCTGCCCGGGAGAGTTGCATAGACGTGGCCGGGAGAGAGCGCTCCTCCCGGGGAGCGGGCAGGGGGCCCCAGCGGGTCCGGGGCTCAGTCGGTCCCTGGAACCTGGGGTCTCTCGAGAAGAGGAATAAATAGGAAACAAATCGAGGAGGCTCCTCTCTTCGGGCTCCATGGAATTAGAGTGGAAGGCTCAGGAAGGCGGGGACCTGCCCCATGACCTGACCTCCTGACGCTTCCTTACGCCCCCACCCCCCAAGTTGAGGGTCAGCAGGCTGTCCCTCCCATTCTCGAGCCCCCTTTCTTAGCCAGTTCAGGCTCTGATGAGGGTGGGGCTTCTCCCGAGACAGATGTGTGTGTATGGGGGCAGCCTGCTATGGCCTTTGCTGTCCCTCTCCTTGCCTGGCTCCTGACCTCCCAGTCCAGCTGGGGAAGCCAGACTGTCCCTGGGTGAGGCCAAGAGATTAAATAGAATAATAAATAGATAAATAAATAAATACACAAATAAATAACTGGAGGGCCCAGCCGGACCAGGGGAAGGGCATTGGCGAGGTGCTCCAGACCTTCCCCCAACAAGTAAGGAAGGGTACCTGTAGTCCTGGGGATGGGGGAAAGTGCTCAGAGATTCTGGGAGGAGGATGGCTGGGAGGAGACTGGAAGTCCAGGGAAGGGCTGTCCTGGGGTAGGAGAGGGGTTACATTAGGGGGTAGGGCCCTAAACTCCCCCTCAAGTTTTCTCCAGGTTAGGTAAACTCAGAGTGGTGAGACCTACTAGAGGGATGAGGGGATCTGGAGAGAGAAGGGTCTGGGAGTGGGTGATGAGGCCCCCAAAGACTGAAGAGAGTGGAAAATGTGTGGGTGGGGTGTGTGTGTGTGTGTGTGTACGTCCCAGGCATGCAGGGGATCTAGGACAGACCAGTTACTCCAAGAAAGGGGAAGATTAGATCCCCAGATGGACACACACGGGGAGACTCAGCAGGGGCCAGAGGGATGGTCTGGGGTTGCATTGTGGTCTGAGGGCTACAGGGCCTGCATCCAGATATGCATAGGGAAACTGAGGCAGGCATGGGAGTCAAGGGTAGGTTTGGGGTTTAGATTGGGGGCTCCAGTAGAGGAATGGTCAGAGACTCAGCTGAGAAGCGAGAGAAAAGGTCTGAAAGTTAGGAGAGCGGCGCAGGATTCGGGCAGGAGAAATTTCTGGCTCTGGGGCCCTGGAGAGGTGCGGACCTGGTGCCTGAGTTGGGAGCCTTGAAGGCGCGGACAGGGGGTCAAGGTCCGAGTGGGGGCCGGAAAAGATGATGTGGGTCGGGGGCGCTGGGGGAGAGCGCCCGAAGTGAATTTTGGGTTTGGGGGCTGGAGAGAAAAGTTCCGGGGTGGGATGGGGGTCCCCTCGAGGGGGGGTGGGCAGGGAAACACAGCTGGGGATTGGAGAGGGCGCTGCGGACGCAGGTGGGGGGCCCGGGGCGCGTGGAGCGCGAGTTCCGGGTGGGAGGCTCAGCTGGCCGGGCCAGCGGGAGGCGGCGGGGGCGGCTCGGCGCCCTTGACGCAGGCGGCCTCGCAGTGCTTGTGGAGGTAGGACTTGAGCGCGAAGCTCTTGTCGCACTGGCGGCAGCGGTAGTGCTTGAAGGCCGAGTGCGTCTGCATGTGCGCGCGTAGGTTGGAGCGGTCGGCGAAGGCCTTGCCACAGTGCGCGCAGCCGAACGGCTTCTCGCCCGTGTGCGAACGCATGTGGCCCTGCAGCAGCCAGGGCCGCGAGAAGGCCTTGCCGCACACGCCGCACTTGTGGCGCAGGTTGTGCGTGAGCACGTGCATGGCGAGCGCGGGCATGGACACGTACGCCTTGCCGCACGTCGGGCACTTGCGCGCCAGCTGGCTGTCCAGGCTGCGGTGCGTCTGCTTGTGGCGGCTGAGGTTCGACGACGTGGCGTACGTCTTGCCGCACTCGGCGCACGCGTGCCGGTGCCCGCCGCCCGCCGGCGCCCCCGTGCGCCCCGCGGCGCTCCCGGCGTCCCCCGCGCCCTCCGCGTCCCCGCTGCCCGCGCCCCGTCGCCGCCGCGAGCGCCCGTCCGAGATGAAGAAGGCGTCCATGGAGTAGCTGTCGGTCACGGCCGCCTCCCCGCGGAAGTAGCGCGCCGACAGGCTGGACTGCGGGCTCTCGGGGTCGCTGTACTCCTCCGGCGCCGCCGGCGGGTACGCGGGCTCGGCCGGGGCCAGCTCCAGGCCCGGCTTCTGGTCCGCATCGTAGCTGCTTGGGGGCAGGCAGTGCGGGGCGTAGCCTGGAGGGGCGAGAAGACGGGGAAGTTGAGGGCGAGGCGCGCGGGAGGGCTTCCCTCTCTGGCAAGTCACGTCACAACGGCGCCCCTCCACCCCGCCCTCCAGCTCGGCCTCCCTGTGGCAGGTCTTGGAACGTGATGGCTCCTCCTAAGACAATGGTCGCTGACATGCACCTCAGCTCCTCACGTCAGGCTGCGTGGGTTCAAATCCTTCCTCCACGGCCCGGTACAAATAACGGCCACCCCACCCTTGGAGCACGGGACTGGCACAGTTCCGCTGACTTTGCGTCAACTGCTTTCTTAAGTGTTCACAACCATGCAGTGAAGGTCTTAGACCCACTTTGCAAGTAGAGAAACTGAGTCACAGAGAGATATAGCAGTCAGTCTAAGCTTACAGCTAGTAAGTGGAGGAGCCAAGATTCAGACCTTGGCACTGTGACGCCAAAGTCCATGCTCTTTATTCCAGCAACACTCTGCCATTCCAGCCTTGCAACTTCTCTGAATCTCGGTTTTCCTGTCTAGGAAATGGAGCTTGTGATTGGACACCTCCTTCCAGAGTCATTGGAAGGACTGAGTAAAGTGATGATAATAAGCGTGTATTAAGCTCTTACTGTATGCCAGACTCTGCCCCAGTGCTTTACACGTGTTAACGCATTTAGTCGGCACAGACCCAAGAAGTAGGTACTATTATAATCCCCATTTTACGCGTAAGGAAATTGAGAAAGAGAGGGAGCACACAGTAATTGCTATATAAATGTTAGCAATTATAATTATGCTTTCTACTTGCGTGAAGATTATTTGTCTGCTACCCCCACTAAACTATGAGCTCCCCAGGGCTGGATCTGCGTGCCCAGCACGTGTCTGGCTCAAAGGAGGTGTGCGATGGCTAGATGTGGCATAAACGAGCACCAACACAATCCAGTTAGACCCACCTCCCAGGGTTGCTGGAGGATTTAAAAGTGGTGGTGTGTGTGGTGTGTAATAGGTGCTCCAGAAAGGGAACTGCCTTGCACTTGCTCCCAAGCCTGCTTTGCTCCGAGCTCCTCTAGAAGTCTTCCTGAGGCTGCAGTGAGAATTCACCTCCCCCTCCTCCTCCCACTTAGCTGGAGTTGGACCAGCAATCCTGCCTGCCGAGGGTTTGAGTGATTGGTGGGTGGACAGGCTGGGGCTCTCCCAGGGGATTCCACAGGGGCTTGTCATGGGCAGGGGCCACCCTGATTCCATAGGGGTTTGTCATGGGCAGGGGCCTCTGCCTCCCATGGCCTAGGCTGGCCCTGGCACCTTCCCTGTGGATCCTGGGGGCTGGGCTCCCCAGAGAGTTTCTGGCAGACATAGAACAAACTTATCATCCTGGCACTTAATTACCAAATGTTTCCATTGTCCTTTGATTCTGGGGAACAATGGAGGTTAGCCCCCTATCTGAGGTTTCACAGCTGGGGAGTAACAAATCTCAGGATGTGACCCTCTCCTCTGACCTCCCTCCGCCCCCGCCCCAGATCTGTAACCACCCTTCCTCTCTGCACCCTCCCTCACTGAGGTGAGCAGGTGGAAGAGGGCTTTGTAAGCTGGAGACAGGATCCCAAGACGTTCAGACTTATGGCTGGTACTCTGGTCAGCTTTCATTCTCAAACAGCCTGGCTGATGCAGCCTCCAGACCTTTGCCTCCCATCTGGCATTTGGGATGGTCACAGGGTCAGGTCTGTGCAGACTGTCCGCTAACCCTGAAAGCAAAGGAAGGTGTGCCCTTATTTTTTCCTCTGTCCCTTTAGCAGCTAGCACAGGGCCCTCTGCACACTGAAGTGATTGGGGATTGTGGGGAAGGACGACTCAGTAGGGAAGGGCTCTGTGGTCAGATGCAAGTGTGGGCAGTGGTGATGGCAGTTTTTTAATCTAGGGGAGGCAGTGCCTAGCCTCTCAGCAGCCCATCCCTCCCCTCCCATCTGCTTTTGGTCTGGAGGTTCCCCTACCTCCCACCCCAGGAACTAGGCCTAGTACTGGGGTTCCAGAACATTCAGGAAATATTGTTTCAGACTCAGTTAAATACCTGCTGGGCACTACTAGACCCTCTCCTTCTGTATTTCATTGCATTGTAATTACTGATGATAACACTAGCTAGTGTTTATTGAGCACTTACTGTGTGCCAGGCTCTGTGCTAAGTGCTTCACTCCCATCATCGCACTGAATCATCACAAAAATACTCTCATTACAAAGGAAACTGAGGTACAGACTGGTGATGGTACTTGCTTAAAGCGGGGAGCAAGGATCGGAAACCACTGCCCTGCCCCCCTCGTTTCCCACACTGGGGGCTCCTTGAGGAAGGGGTCGTGGCTGGGTTGTTTACCTCCATCCCCAGGGCCCTAGCACTCAGTAAGTATTTGTGGAGTGAGTGATGAAGATGTGCCAGGCCGGCCTCACTCTCCAGCCCAGCAGGGTCTGCTGTATAGTCCTGCCCACCTGGTCTCAGGACAGGTCTGTGCCTCACATGGCCTGGGCCATGGAATGGGGTGGGCGATTGGTTCCCCAACACAGATGCTAGCTGGGTGACCTTGGGCAAGCCATACATCTTTCTGTGCCTGGGGTCATTTTTCTGGGAATGGGGATAGTATGGGATTTATTTGGAGGGGGTGACTGATCATGTGAACCAGTGTCTCATATGTTCTGTTATTTAAGAAGGATGACATATTGGCTATGAACACAACTTGGGTGCCAGACTGCCCATACTGCGTTCTGGCTTTACCATTCCCAGCTGTGTGACTTTGGACAAACTACTTGACCTTTCTTTGCTTCTACAGTTTCAGTAAGGCGCCCAGTAGTGAACAAACAATGTGTAAACAAGTAATAACCCAGACTCCGAGAGCACTGTGTCAGACACTGTTATAGAGCTTTGCACACGTGAATGCGTTCTACCCTCATGACTCTAAGGCAGGTACCATTTTACAGATGAGGAAACCAAGGCACAAGGAAGTTCAGTACCATGCGTAGGGTTGTGCAGCTAGTCAGTTAGAGCCAGGATTCCAGGCCAGTGCCTGGCACTTGGTAAATCCACAATACATGTTGGCTGTTGTTACGAATAACCATAAGTCTCCCCAGATGGGTTTCTGTGCTGCAGTTTTCTTGGCGCTCACCCCAACACATCTTGCTGCTCCTCTCTGGGCCTCTGGTTCCTCACCCAGGATGCGTAATTTCTACCTCACATTCTGATGAGAAAATTTCTGTGCATAGTAGGAGCTCAGTGAATCGGGCAGTTCTCAACTGGGTGCTCTTTCCATGGCGCCCTCTGCTGGCAGCCTTCAGCACTGTAGCACCTTATTCCTGTTGCTAAGGACTCTTTATACAGAAATAGGGTTGCCTCAAACAAAGGCTGCTTATTTGCCTAGGGACCGATGTGGAATTATCTTCAGGACAGGAATTGTCGGCCCAGACCAGGTGCCCATTCTGTGGATTTTGGCATGGGTTGGGAGCATCACATGAGTTTGTTGGTCATGTAAGGCGCAGGTGGTTCTAACTTGCTTTGTGACTGTGACCAGATTGCTTAACCTCTCTGGGCTGGGTCTGTACACAAGGTTGACTGGGGTGCTCTGAAGACCCCTTCTGCATCATGGCTGAATCAGTCCCTCCATGATGCTCTTTGTGGATGGGGGGGGCGTTCCTCCTCCAACTTCACCCTGTTCTCTCAGATCCACGGCCCTCTCCATATGTGGCAAGTTACTTACTTAACCTCTTTTTGCCACATCTGTATAAGGGAGTTCATAATAGGATTGAATAAATTAATGCGTGTAAAGTGCTGAGTACAATACCTGGCACATAATAGCTGGCCTCTCAAGCTGTTATTATTATTATCATTATTATTATTCCTGCATTTCCTGGTGGTATCCTTCTAATCTTCAGAGAGTAGAAGGAGGTACACATTGGTATCTCAGGCTGCTGCATGACCTTGGGCAAGCCACCTCCCCTCTTTGGGCCTCAACCCTGGAGAATCCTTTAGGGTACTATAGGCCATGCTCAGATCTTACAGATGGAACCCAGACAGGTTTTGGGTGTGTTCCTCTGCCCCAGTGGTGACTCTAGAAAGCTGAGTTGCCTGCCCTCCAGCTGACAGGGTGAGACAGGACTCCTCTGTTTGGGTCCTGATAGAAGTAGGGAGGAGCTGGGATCCAGAGAGAAGAGATCTGGCTCTTATCCTGGCCCTTGTACTCAGACCCTAACTGTGTGACCTTGGGCGAGTCACACAGCCTCTCTGGGCTTGAATCCTCCAGTTGAGCGATGGGGACCAGAGCCACCTCTGCCATGTATGGATATAAGTTGGGCCCAGGAGCATTTGGAAATGTGCACATGTCACCTGAGAATGACTTTGGTTTTTCCTGCCCAAGAGTCTTGATATTTTAGACTTAAGGTCCAGAATCCATTAAAAAAATTCTGTACCCAAAGGAGTGGTGGGAAGGGAAATTTATGACCCCCTGGGGCGGGGGGCTCTGTAACAAGTACTACTACTGTTACTACTAGTGTTTCCAACTAACATTAACCCTCCCTGTGAGCCAGACACCGCACTGTGCCCAACACCCGGAGAGGGGAAAGGATTTGCCAAAGGTCACCAGAAGGGGAGTCAGGTGTGCAACCCCCCAAAGCCAGTGTTTTTTCCAGAACACCAGGGAGGGCATGGAGACCTGCTGGGGGAGCGAAGATTTTCAATTGGTTGGGGAAGGGGTGGTAGGTTTCCTCAAATAATACCTCGCATTTGGCCTGTGTCTTATGGGAGTGTTTGGGGAATGAAGTAGCTGTTGTAGAGAATACTGCAGCCCCTTGTAAATATTTGTAAATAGTACTTAATAACAGTAATGACTAACACTTATTGAGCACTTAGTGTGTGCAAGGCACTGCTGAGTGCTCTATACACATCAGCTCATGTCCAAGTTCACTCCTACGCCCTCGTACTGCAGAAGCTGAAGCCCAAAGAGGGGCCTTGACCCACCGCAGGTCACCACACAGGTTCTCCTCAGGGCTGG